AGTGGGAATAGTTCCATAATAAGTAATTAGGAGGAAGCTTCGCAGCACTATGTTTGGGGCACCGACCACAGCTCGGATTAATTAGCCTAGTTTTTGTTCATTTAATAATAATAATAATAATAATAATAATAATAATAATAATAATAATAATAATATAATTAATCCGTGTTTTTAAAGTTTTAAGATTACTATATTAATGTTCAGTTGGAACTAATAAATAATAGAAAAATGATGTTCTAAGCGACACAAGCTAACAGATTATTCTTTCCATAGTTAATCAAATCTATAGTATAGTAATTGGTTTGACATTAGGACACAATATAAGCCTAAAAATCAAAGAGATTTGTGTACATTCCCCTCATCGATTTGCCTCAAATAATGAATAACGATATTGAACATTTGAGTTAATTCAATTTTTAGTCCTAAATTTATAAGTGGCAATCCAATTTGAGTTTTTTTTTATTATTATTAGAATATCTACTTTTGGTCATAGTATTATTGTGACATGACCTTTTTTTGTCATTTATCAACAAAATAGTTTAAATATTATTATTCAACAACATGGTCTAGCTTAGAAGCCCCTATTCACCATGTTCTTCAAGATTAGTTAAAAAAAAACTATACAGACAACATGGTCGTCTGTTCCCCTTTCAAAACATGAGAGGTCTTGATAAACTTCCTAAAATATTATGAAAGTTCTTCATTGACAGATTTTGTATAATATATATTATCAAAAAATATTTTAGAATTGTACAATTTTACCAAATATAACAGCATATCAGCATCATACATATGATATAATTAGTTAAATTAATGATTAATTAATCTCAAATAATCTAATTTGTACGGTTTTGGCATTAATGGTAGATTCTCTTGAAATGCGGGGTAGAGAGCTTTCTTAATTGAGGTTAATTGTAATTTGATAAAATAATATTAGAATAAATATATTATTAATTTTTGTGAGTTGTGATGTTAATTACATAGAAATTAAAATAAGGTTTGGAACATGGAAGAGTAAACTAGTTAATATAGTTTGTGAGAATCCAAACAAAAGTACATCCGTACGCGTTACGGTACATATATTGCTCTTTAAGAAATGGGGTACAAATACTATTTTAACTATTCAAAACGGTCCTATATTTCCTATAGATCCAAACTTAGATAATACACTTAAAAGAAAAAAATAAATAATAATAATAATAACACCGACAACAACTAAGGGCTCTCCGTGACTATTCTTTGTCACAAAGATCGAGATCCACTCTTTTGTGTTTTGATTGTATTGCAAGTTGCAACATTATTACAACCCGTTTTGGTTTGCCGAAAAATATTTGAAAAATAATAAAATTAAAATTTCATAAAAAATAAATTATTAAAAAATTAATTCTATTATTTGGTTGGTGGAAAATAAATTATTGAGAATATGAATTTCATTGTTTGGTTTGCTTTGGAATGGTAAGAATTTTTTGAATACAAAGACAAATATGCCTCTAACAATAACAATAATGATAATAAATTAAGCCTAAATACCACCTATGTAATTGAGGAACTTTTATGAGGATATAATTGTCCAATCATGTTATCTTTACTTCTCATGTCATGTGGAAAATAAAATACCACCCTTTGGGTAAGAATTTGTTTTCCTCAACTTTAACGAATTGCTTTTCCAATGGAAAATATTTTCCATCTAACCAAACAACATAAAACAAAATCTTCCTCCACTTTTAGAAAAACAGTTTCCATGAAAAATATTTTTCATCCAACCAAACACCTCCTTAATTGGCCTGGATACAAATGGTCTGATATTTGGTCTCGATTTAGGTGGTCATGCTTGGTTTAACTATTTAAGTAGTTGGTCCGATCCATGGTCGATATAGTTTAAAATTTGAGAGACATGTTTGTCCTGTTTGGTAAATGGTTGTTAGCTGCTAGCTGATTGGGTTAATTAGAGAGTATAACTAGTTAATAACATCAGCTAATTGTAGAAAGGTATTTGGTAAATTAGCTGTTAGCTGATAACTATTTGGTATAAAAAAAAAATTCTCAAAAAACTTTTTGAAAAAGTTGTTTTGAGTAGTTTTTTGAATTTTAGCATTTTAGAGTAAAAAAAAAAAAAAAAAACTAATTAACCAAACATTTATATTGATTTCTAAACCAAGTCAAACAACTAATAGTTGTTTGACTTGGTTTAAAATTGACTTATAGACTAACTATTTGACCAAACTTATCTCTTTTATGAAAAGTACATGTCGGAGATCATTGAGTGATTTTAGGAGATTTTCCTTATTATTTTGGGATTGCTTTTCTTGTGTTTTAAAAATCAGCTTGTAATTAATACATTAGTCTGAATCCTTAATTGAAAGTTTGGGACGTGTAAATAATGAAGCTTGTAATGAGTATAATCTTTTTTTTCACTCTTAAGTAATAACTATACCCTACTTTTATGCTTATTTCTGACTGATTGTGCTGATCAGTTGTCTCGACTACTTTGGTTGTAAACCAACAACATCATATAATTAATGAAGAATTCTACGTTAAAAAAAAAAAATATATAACAAATTTGAGTTTATAATATGAAGATTTTTTTTTTTAAACATAATATGAAGAGTTAAATTAATTAATTACTTCCATTTAACTTTTCCAATGCTAGTTTGGCTGGTATGTATTATGGACCGATTTTATTCATCTTAAATTCTAACAACACCTACACTCTCCTCTCCCAACCAAACACTATTTGGCTGGTATTTCTTGGTGTGACTTGTGGAATTTCATTAAATTTATCATGGAATTCCTAAACTCAAGTTATAATAGGATAGGATGTAGCATGTAGGTATAGGACCTCAATTGAAGCAATCGAGGGGCAAATTATTGCGTGGACCATGGTTCACACAATCATATACACCATGAATATCAGGTACATTTTTAATATATTAAAAGTATAGTACAATGTATTGAAAGTATATTATTTTTGTACTGAAGATATATTATACAAAATAATGTACCATTAATATATTAAAAATGTACTTTTAAAAAATATATATTACGTACATAAATAATATACTTTTAGTATATTAAAAATTATACTTTTTATTTATGGACCATGTTCCATGCAATAATGATTGGAACCCTGCCATGTAGGCATGCATGTGTTGATAAGGTTGATCTTTGCCTAATTGGGCTGAGCTTGATGAGATGTTTGGCTTACTTCATATCATGGCCTTACTGAATATCATTCAATTTTTTTTATAACTCAAGTTTTCACATTCACCATACTATGACGTTGGTAACATAGTTAGTTTATCAATAAATTTTTACTTATTTAACCATTATTAGTTATTTGACTTGGTCAAGTAGCTAATATAAATATTTAATTAATTAACTTTTTGTAATAATTTATTACTAAAATTCAAAATGCTACTCAAAACAACTTTTTGATAACGTCATTTTGCATGTAATCAGCTAACAACTCATTTGTCAAACATCTGTCTACAATCAACTAATGCAATTAACTTCTCAAACTCACTAACCCAATCAGCTAACTCACTATCGGCAAATTATGCCCTGGACCCTTGTCCACAATTCATTGTGGACACGGACCCAAAACGACGTCGTTAAAAAAAAAAAAAAAAAAAGGTCATTTAGTTATAAAAAAAAAAAAAAAAAATCGCGCGCACTTTGCCGTTAACGGCGTTATTTTTTTTTTTTTTTGATTATGAATGTACAGTTATGCCGTTATGAATGTACAGTTATGATGTTATGAATGTACAGTTATGCAATTATGAAATTATGAACACAGAGCTCTAACATTATGAACTTACAATTATGAACATATAGTGATAAAATTATGACCATGGAGCTTTAAAATTGTGAATATAGAGCTTCGAAGATTATGAATGTACAGTTATGGAGTTATGAATGTACAGTTATAGAGTTATGAATCTACAGTTATGGAGTTATGAATCTACAGTTATGAGATTATGAATCTACAGTTATGAAATTATGAATGTACAGTTATTGATCGAATTATGAACAAAGAGCTCTGACATTATGAACTTACAATTATGCACATATAGTGATAAAATTATGAACATAGAGCTCTAAAATTGTGAACATAGAGCTTCAAAAATTATGAATGTACAATTATGGAGTTATGAATGTACAGTTATAGAGTTATGAACGTACAGATATGGAGTTATGAATGTACAGTTATTAACATATAGTAATAAAATTATGAACATATACTCCTATAACGAACCGGTCTGAAATTAATAAAAAAAAAAAAAAAAAGAGATAACAGTGCATAACGGCACTGTTATCCGTGTCCAGCATGCAGGACACGGGTCCAACGCATAACGATTGCTCACTATCCAATCCAATCAACTAACAGCTATTTACCAGACACTCCATATATATGCGCACAAAAAGTCCCATTCAAATTAAAACCCAAATTCACAAATATTGTGGTAGAAATCGAACTCCACCGTATCGTTGGAAACAATTCTTTTAAGGTACACTCTAGTTCAACATCAAGCTAACCTCTCCAAACAATTTGATTTAAAGCTTTTTGGCACACTCTAGTTCTTTTCATTTGCATTGAACAAAATATGTTTGTATTTGGATCAAAAAATTCTATAACCTACCTCATAAGTAGTTTTGCATTCAACTAGTTGTTAATTTTCTCTTTGGCAAGATGTTATAACAAACTTATATTAGCTAAAGGTTATATCAAATGTTCCTCCGCATAACTGTAGTTCTCCCAAATAAGAGATTACATGTTCAAATCTCAATAAAGACATTTACTTTTTGTGTTTTCAATAAGTTGAGAACTACATAAATATTGTAACAGAATTAATAGTACTAAAAAAAAATGTTCCTCCCAAGGACCCAAACAACATGCAGATCCACAAGTAAGAAGATATTGGCTTGAATGAAAAAGAAACACACAAGTTTGACTATGATTACCATTTCATCAATCTAGTATGCGCAAGAAAAAGACAGGATTGATCATCTTTAATCCATATGCGTAATTGCGTTTAAGCTTTGATATAAGTTTGACAGAAGGGGATTAAGAAGACGCAATTCATCGAACAGAAGATGTGCATAGCATTTCTAACAGTTTCACGAAAGTAGAAAAGTTTCAATCTTGCATTGCAGAAGTAGTAGTAGTGGCAGAGGATTGCCTTATTGTTCGAAGCTGTTGGATCCACTGACTCTCCGGGACCCGACCCGCCCAATCCGGAGCTACGCCGCCGAACGAGACACCGCGCATGGCCTCCATGACTCTCGTCGCGTTCTCCGGCGTCAACGGAGCACTGCGGCGGTTATCGTCGTCTCTGAACGCTCTCCGAACAGCAGAATCAGAAGCAGCTCGGATCCTCTCCTCCTCTTCTTCCTCTTCATCATCCTCATCGCTCAGATCCAGACACGACACTCCGTTCTCAACACAACGCGCGTAGCCGTTCGGCAATCGATTGAAATTGCTACCGGACAGATCTCGATCTCCGTTACCGAGATTTGAATGTTGATCGGAGAACTCTTCGTCCTCGTCATCTCCGTCGCCCGAGGAGATTGGCTGATAGTATTCTGGCGCTTCGTCGGAGTTCGTATCCGAATCGCTTTCTCCGGCGTTCACTAGCACCAACAAAATCACTAAATAAAAACTCGATTCTGTAAATACCGCGAAGAAGGTTAATCATCAATTACCTTGGTTGAATTCCGGCGGAGAGTTCGACACCGCGTTCATTGTGCCTCAGCTAGAGAGAAACCGATAAGCTGAGATGAATGACTGAATGTTCAAAGCAAAAATTAGACGGGCCTTAACAATTTACCCCGTATGATTTAACATCACCCAAAAAAAAAAAAAACACCACAAGAAAATTATATAAAATTATGTAACAATTCACAAATTATTTAGGAAATGTAAATTGCACTAGGATAAACAAGAATTGAACTCGTAACATTTTTCATCACTACTTGTTGTTTGGTAATTTCGCTTGTGACTGTAACTGTTAAAATTCACAATGAAATAAATCAGTATAGGTATAATCCGCTCAAACAATTTTTACTGTGAGTTGAATTTATAAGATTATGATATAAGTCAGTAGACTAGTCAATTTGATTAGAGTTGTTTAGTAGTTCCTAGACCCTTCTTTATTTAAAAAAATTCACTTGTAATTAAGTAATACACCATCAGTCTTATGTTATATCTCATACCTATTATTCATTAGTCAAATCAATTCTTTCTTTTTGCTTATTTTCTTTGGTAATTTTTATTTATTTTTAAATTTGATTTTTTGTATTTAATAATACTTTTAGTGTAGTTTTTAAATATATCAATTTTGTATATACTAATACTAAACTTAATATTATGAAAATTTGAATTAAAAATAACTTCAATCAAACTCTTATCATAAAATGTGACGGATGAAGTATTAAAAATTGCAATTTTTGATAAACCTACACTAAAATGATAATTTTTTTTTGGTATATGTATATCTAAGGTTTCCACTGTCGGACACAGTGACTAATTCTCTTGCTGAATTATAGGCATTTCTTTTGGGTGGAACACCTGACCTGACACTAAAATGATATTGAAATTTGGTATCAAGTACTTAAAATTTGGTTGGAACAAAGACTAAATGTAACAATTTACGTGGCACAACGAGGAGCTCATATCTATGGAAGAGACTATTGGATTTAACAGTCTAAGCCTTCGTCCAGGAGGAAGTTGGAGAAGCGGTAGCGGGAAATGGCAGCTTCAATTTTCAGGCTTACCCTTTCCAATTCACCATTTAATTCCCACGCAATTGTTGAATCCCCAAAGCTGAATCCGCATTCAATCTCACTCCGGCGGAGCCGCAGGAGAATACTCTGCTGCGCGCCACCAGATTCCGGCGCCGGCGCCGGCGACGGAGCAGGAGTATCACTTAGCGTTGGGAGTTACGCAATTCCGCATCCTAACAAGGTAATTTCTAACGCGGCGCGTCTATTCCATGGATTTATGGTGTTATTCTACAATCTGCATACGACGTGTTTGCTTAATTGTTGGAATTAAGGTTGAGAAAGGCGGGGAAGATGCTTTCCTTGTGAGTAGCTATAACGGGGGTGTTATTGCTGTTGCGGATGGTGTTTCCGGGTAAGGAAGTAGAAGCCTGTTCTAAGAGTGTTCTTAATTACAGTCTTGTGGAGTTGTAAATGCAAGAAATTTCTCAATTATGGCTTTTGAATACTGATGTGATTTCATGTACTAATCAGTTGGGCAGAACAGAATGTTAATCCTGCATTGTTCTCTCAGGAATTGATGGCCAATGCATTTTTCTTTCTTGAGCATGAGGAGGTAGTGATCATGTATTTTACACATTTTCATTCTGGTTTGCGATCTTTTCTTGTGTTCCCTCTAATTGTTGGCAAATTATACTGTAGACCACGGATAAATGTTAGTTTTGAATGTGCTGAAAGTTAATTTTTTGGTAGTATACCTAAAAATGAACCTTGAAAAAGTAAATATTCAATGTACTAAAAATGAACTTTTGGATACTACTATACTAATAATGTACCTTATGCCAGTGGCTTCCATCTTGTAAGGTGGACCATAGTCCATGTTATAATGATTGTCTATTGTTTTGATCAATTTTGGTAATAGCTTGTGAATTCTAGTTTATATTGCTGCTCTGGTGATATGCTGCTGCCTCACCTGACATTGCAGGTCAATTTTGATCCATGCATTCTTATAAAGAAAGCCCATGCTGCTACCTCCTCCATTGGATCAGCCACAGCGTAAGTTCCGGGCTGTTAGATATCTTATATATTCTGCGGTTGCAATAACTTGGACTGGGAATTTGTTCCAATAATCACCTTGACTTTTGCATTTGGCATTTAAGAATTGTAGCAATGCTGGAGAGGAGTGGGATTTTGAAGATTGCCAATGTTGGGGATTGTGGAGTGAAGGTTATACGCAAAGGTATAAGTTCTATTTTCTGCAGAATTCGACCTTCATTATCCTCATTTTTTGTTTTGCTGCTTTGTGTGATGCTATTGCTTTATATTTGATATAGGTCAAATGATTTTTTCCTCGTCCCCGCAAGAGCATTATTTTGACTGCCCATACCAGCTGAGCTCAGAGGCTGTTGGCCAAACATACCTTGATGCCACTGTATGAATCTTCAGACTTGTAGTGCTCCATATAATCTCTATGATTCCAGACTCGGTAAAACTACTTTGATGCCACAGTATGATATTTCAGACTTGCATAAGTAGTGAAGTAAGAAAACTGTGATTCCTCCTTTTGAGTTCTCATACTAAACTTAGACTTCATAAAACGATGCATCTGTGCTGTAATTTTCAATAATTTGAAGCATAGACTTGTAAGATGCATTCTCTGTCAAAACAACAATACTATATGCATGGATTATACTTACCGTCTTCCTTGTCACTGGCTTTTACCACCATCTCCATATTGGCACATATAGAGTCAGGTAATTTTTATTTTTTTAAATCTAATTTCTCATGTGAAACACAATTCTTCCGGTTGTATAAGATGCCAAAAACCATATAATATAGCAGTGGTTATTGAAATTGGGTTGCATGGGGACACAATCACTTGCTTTGAGTATGGCATGTGTTAATCTGGTTAGATGATGATTCATAATTTCATACCATCTTTTGATATGCAGCAAAGTGCAACAAATCTACAAAACTGAGAATTTCTTATGCACCTTTTACTTGACCTATTTCAAAGCAGACGATCTTTTTAAGCTTTCCGCTTCATATACAGGTTAGCAGAGTAGAGGTGCAAGAGGGAGACACAATTGTAATGGGTTCAGATGGGCTGTTTGACAATGTTTTTGACCATGAGATTGTTTCAGTGGTGGCTGCACAACAGGATGCATCCAATGCTGGTACATGCTTCCTGCAATCCTGCCACACTTAATCTGCAACCTAATTCTATGGCATTCTAACTGATTTGGTATCAATGGTAGCAAAGGCATTGGCTGAAGTGGCTCAAAGTCATTCGCTGGATCCCAACTTCGACTCCCCATATTCACAGGAGGCGAGGGCAAGGGGGTTCGATGTCCCTTGGTGGAAGAAAATCCTACAAATGAAGTTAACCGGTGGAAAGCTCGACGACATCACTGTTATTGTTGGACAAGTTAAAGGCTGATCAAGAATTCACATCCATACTTTTGAGTGTGCAGAAAGGACCTTTCCATGCAGGGAGGGAACTACCTTGAGTTTCTTAAACATTCTATTCTTCTAATAGGTTAGATTATTTGTTTTGGTGGTGTCTTTAAATATTTAAAGGGAGATTAAAGGATTAATGGCAGAATTCAGTTCCAGCAGCAAAGGTTTGAACTTTTGAGAGACAAAAAGTAGAATGAGAAACAGAGGCTCTGAGCATTTCTAATAACAATCTGTCTTCCATTGTTTTTGCTCATTGCATCTTTACAACTTTTAAGTAAAATACAATGATGATGCTGTATCAAAGATGAATAATACTCCATAATAGGGGCAATTCCAGCCAAGTTACTCTAGCTACAAGGAGTTCTAAATTCGACAATTAGAGAAAGCAGCTTATTAGCCTTCTTGGTTTGAACTGGTCAACTAATGACAACTTAATATGATTTATCTCTTTGTGATCCTTTGTCGGCTAAGGCCACAAGGCGAGATTTACCCAATGTACACCCTCATCTAATAGTAGTAACTGCGAATTTCCCTCGTCATGCAAAAAATAATAATAACAAAAAAGAAACAAAGATAGCTGTCATAGCTGATAAAACAGAATTCTCAAAAACAGAAATGGTAATATTACCCAGTTACTTTGTAACCAATGAATAACCAAAGCAATGCTTTTACAACATTGAGAATACAAAATCCCAGGTAAAATGATCAGCGTGTAACACTATCCTAGGAAACATGACAGACAGTCAATTAGCTCCACAATTGGAGGCTTTTTTCTATTTCTATTGTTGAGAATACATTAAAAAAAAATGATATTGCCACCGGGTACCTAAGCCAAATCAAGCCTAAATCAGATATGCTAAGTTCTCATTTCCTGTTGTCCTAGTGGCCATAATATAAATGGGACAAACATTTGGGAGGTATAAAGCAAAATACAAGATGGAAACAGCCCAGGAACCATTTCCCGGGATTCTTAGGTGACGTTATTACTGTTACCGGTGTTCAATTCTTGAAAGAAGGATTTAGCGGCTTCATAAGTAGACCAGCAAATTGCAGCAGCAGGAGCGTGGAAGAGCATCCTCGGAATCCAACCCCTCATGAGACCTCTATAACCATCTTTCTTTACTATTGTTTTGAGCACATCCCTAATTGAACTACTTCTAAATCTGTCACATCCACATACACCCTGCAAATAAACCAACATAAGCTTCCAAATGATACATTGCAGGCTAAAAGCATGAAAGACAACCAATTTCACTAGCTCATACATTATGTGCTTGATTGGGAAGATTGGAAACAAGATACAGGCCCCAAAAAAAGGCATAATTCCAAAACACAACTTCTAATCTGGCATGCTGAACAGCCAAAGGGAGACACTGACCAAATCCAGATGGTAAATAGAAACGTTTTCACGGAAGGGTTTCTAATATCCAGTTCACTGACTTCAAAACCCTCTTAATTTCATTCAAAAACATAATTTACCAAGTGACCCCCCCTTATGAGCCCAAAACAATGCAAACTCCTCCCTTCTTTATGGGGATCACTAATTCTCATTAGCCCAGCTTCTTTCAACAGATGAAATTAGAAAATGCAATAGACACATGAGATTGGGGCAGCTTATTAGTCACCAATTCACCATCAGGATCATATTTGGATTTTATGCTCATGGAAACTAACAGTAGGTTAGCAAAGCTGCAAACTTTTATAAATAAAAGTAAGTTCTTGGCATAAAAGCTAACATGGTGAGTCCTAAAGTTAGCAAAGCTGCAAGCTTTTATTTATAAATAATAGTAAGTTCCCAGCATAGATAAACAAAGGTATAATTCCACTAGTAGATAAAAGATTCTCAAATTTTCATTAAGGCAATTTGCAGTATCACAAATTTAATAGAAGAGAGCTAGAAAGAATATAATAATACCTGACACTGTAATTGGGTCTTAACCACATCAAGAGGGGTTGTAATAAAGCCGGCTGAGGCCCCGGCAGCTGCTCCGGCAGTAGCATGAACTATCAACCGGTCATCGCTTGCGCTCTCCGGCGAAACCTCTAATAAACCCCTCTTCGCCGCCTCATATGTGGCGAAATGCACCGCCGTGTACGGTGCATTCATCAGCACCGTGGTCTTATATGACGCATAAAACGCCTTAATCCCCTCCTCTCTGAACACTACCCTCATACAATCCATGACGCCTTTGTACGGACTGCTGCTGAGCTGGAGCCTCTGCTTCACCATATCCATGGGCGTGAACACGGCGTCGCTGGCGACGGTGGCGCACACCCCCGACGCGGCGTGGGCGGCGGAGTTATTGGGGTTCCCGCCGGAAAACGTCTCCTTACAGAACTCGTAAACGGAGAAGTACACCGCGTGGGCCGGGCCCGCTCCAAGGCCCATGGCCCCAATCCCGCGGTAAAGCCCAGCAACGCCCTCGGATCTGAGGATGGACTGGAGGGCCTGGCGAACGCCAACGGACTTGATTGGGCAAGACCCTAGGGCTTGCATTTGGGTCTTGACGGTGTCGACGGGGAACATGGCCATGTGCTCCACCATGCCGGCGATTGACCCGGCCACCATGAACTGCCAGAAGTGGAGCCCGTCGTGCGCCGCCGAGACGACGACCTCCGGGTGAAAATCCGGCGGAATGAGCTCCGGCTGCTGAAACTTGGCAGATGCATCGGTAGCCATGGCAAAAAAACAAAACTGAGAGATTCACAAATTCAGCTTTCAGAAGACTATACTGACAATTCAAGTCGGATACGGGTCTTTGATGGATCTATGGAGCTCCGCCATACAATCTCGAATCGAATCAGCGATAGATATGCTATATATATAGAGAGTGAAATTGGTATCTGTTTGTGATTAGGATTTGGGCGACGACGGCGATTGCGTGATGCAATTGTGTAGAATAGTCAAGACAATGAAGAATCAAAATTGGAAGGTTTTAGCCTTTTAGGAGGCGTTGGGGTTTTGGGAAGTAATTGGGGTTAGGGTTCCAATTTTATGGGGAAAATTGTGTTTCGTGTAACCTAATTTATCATTTTTTTAAACATATAGTAACCAAAAATTGTTTTCAAAAACAAAACCAAAAAAAAAAAAAAAAAAAAAAAAAAAATTCAAAACCAGCAATTTAGTCAGTTGACTTTTACATATTTTAGTGTGAAAATTGCATTGCTAGTTATTCAATTATTACCAATTTAGAAATGTGATATTTGTTATAAATAAATATAATTATAGTTATTATTGATAATAATGGACGTAATGGTCCGTCAATTAATCATGTCATTGTTATATCCGTTACATTTGTATTATATATATATATATATATATATATATATATATATATATGTGTGTGTGTGTGTGTGTGTGTGTGTGTGTGTGTGCGCGCGCGCGGTAGTTAATGAAATCCTGATTATTCCCTACAATATTGTCTATCATTCTTTCTCTCTTTCTCTTTACAATCATTTATCCTACAAAGTTCATCGGTTAGGAGCTAACATCAACGGGCATATAACTATAATAATCTTTTAATTTTCAATTTAAGTAAGCAAATATGATTTATTCGGAAAAGTCTACGGTATTGATTGATACTAATATCTATTGCATTATGTTTAAATTGAGATAGTAATATGGTGTTTTAATATGGTAGACACTAGTATTAATCAATATGTAAGATTGACCATCATGTCATTTGAATCCGATCCTATAATAACTTTCATATCAATAATTTAAAGGGAAAAGGGTCAAATAGACCCTTAAATTATAGGTAAAAGAGCAATTAGGCCCTTCAACTTTTTAAATGTGCAATTAGGTCCTTCAACTTGTTATTTTGAGTCAAATAAGTCTAATAACAGGTTTTTCACCTAGAATAACCAGTCAACAAATTACGGCGACAAAAAAAAACTACCAGAGAACGATTGTCTTCTCCGGTGGATGACCGGACTGGTCGCTTCTCCACTGGAGAACGCGACCAGTCCGGTCGCCTCCTCCACTGGAGAGGACTACCAGTCCGGTCGTCCTCTCCAATGGAGAAGGCGACCTGATCTGGTCACCTTCACCACCGGAGAAGACAACCGAACAGTTGTCTTCTCCGGTAGTTTTTTTTTTTTTTTTTAATTCGTCGGAATTTGTTGACCGGTTATTCAGGTGAAAAACTTATTATTGGACTTATTTGACTCAAAATAACAAGTTGAAGGGCCTAATTGCACCTTTTTAAAGTTGAAGGGCCTAATTGCTCTTTTACATATAGTTTAATTGACCATTTTTCCTAATTTAAATCAAATATTGCATTGATACATACTCATGTCAAAATTAAAATTGACCCAACTTATGACCACCTCTATTAATATGTTCATATATGACCTTTTTTTTTTTTTTTTTTTTTAAGGAATTCATATATGACCTTTAGCCCCCTCTCTCATTTAAATGAATCTTGCAGGTTAAATTATATATTTCTTTACACACTTCTTCATCTTCTCGATCCCTTATGTTCTCTAATGCAAGTTTCAAATTATGACTTTCTTATATAGTTGACTCGCATTCAAACTTCCTTTAAACTATAGAATCATACATATAAACATTATATACGTTATAACGAAATAATTTGCAATTATTAAAATCTATGCATGTTTTTTAAGATAATTTTTACTTTTTTTTTTTTTTTTTTTTTTTTTTTTTTTTTTGTTTCTAACTACTTATTTGGTTAATTTTTGTTTAATATTTTGTGTTGTGTTGATTCTAAATGGATATCAATGTTCATTTGTTTGGTTTTTTTTTTTTTGTTTTTTTTTTTTTTGTTTTTTTGTGGATTTATATTGTTGTTATGTGATTTTGCATTTAATTTAGTGGAATAATGTAAAAAATGTGTAGTATACGTGTTTGAGAAAACAATTGTTATTATGTTATATATGTTGTAATATTGTATTTTCCATCTCACAAATTAATGACATAAATAAATAAATAAATAATTAATTAAACACATCCAATGGTATGGTGATTGAAATTAAAAGTCACCCAATTTCAATTTCACTTTTAGTTTCACCCTCCTCGCTAAACGCCAATTTTTTTTAGCTGTTTATTTATTTATGTCATTAGTTTGTGAGATGGAAAATACAATATTACCTATGTTAAAATTTGGAGTAAAATTTTCTAGCAAAAATTGACCGGAAAATGCACCGAAAGGATCAAATTAGTTAAGAAAGTCATAGTCGTGGACCAATTCTACAAGTTTTAAAAGTCGTGAATCAAAATTGTTAGTGACACCTTAATTGTGGGACCAAAAGTGCAAAAAACTCTCTTAAATGAACTAAAATACAATCCAATATATAGTATGTACTTCTATTAAGTAATGTAATAATTAATAACTCAAATCTTAGTGAATTACCTAAACAAGTGAAGATGTCAGCAAGTCCAAATCCAAAGACACTATTGATAAGTGATAACTGATAACAATAGCAATGAAAGCCCATAGTGACATCATTACACAACAGAAAAAATTTCAATTTTGATCATCTGATTATAGGGGCTTTGTTAATTTTAGCACTTGACTTTTAAAAGTATCAATTTAGTACTTTGACTATGCAATTTTTATCAATTTTGGTCATTCTGGTCAAATTGCCGGTCAAATTTCGTCGAAAAATTTTAACAGTTAAAAGATGAATTCGTCGGAAAAGATGAATTCACCGGAAAAAATACTCTCATTATTTTAACCGTTAAAATTTTCCGGCGAAATTTGACCGGCGATTTGACCAGAGTGACCAAAATTGAAAAAAATTGCATAGTCAAGGTACTAAATTGACACTTTTGAAAGTCAGGTGCTGAAATTAACAAAGCCCATATAGTCATATAACCAAAATTGAAATTTTCTCTTACACAACATTACCAAATACATGCCTTGATTTAAAGAAAACCCTGAAATTGCTATCCAGTTACGAGTAAAACCTGATTTATGATCCTGTTTACTCAATAAAAAACTACAAGAGAAACTCATAACTAATCAACTCAAATAAAAAAGACTAATAGTTAACTTTTATAGAAAATCAAACATAAAATCTGACACATATTGTTACCAAGTAAATTGTTATATCAATGAAATCGAACTTAAAACATGACACATGTAGTTACCAAGTAAATTGTCATACCAACTTAGCTAAATCGAGTTATATCAACCTAATGCATACTTTAGGTCAAATCTCTATGAAATTTCTTTGATGAAAGCATCAATGTTTACATAAGAAGAACCACCTTTCTCCATAGAAGTGTGACATATTTGTTGCACCATTTTTGCTCTTCTCCTCATCTCCTTCATCTCCGCATTCTCCAAATCCATGAATCTCTTCAACAGCCCACCAATCTCTCCCCTCCCCACCAAACCTCCATTATCCCCTCTCTTCACCTTCACCCCCATCTTCCAGTCCTCCACGATAATCTTACTGTTGGTGGTCTGATCCCAGAATATGGGGAACGTGAGCACGGGCACGCCGGCGAACGCCGCCTCTTTCGCCGAGTTCCACCCGCAGTGCGACCAAAACCCGCCCACAGCACGGTGGCGCAACACCTCGAACTGGTTGCACCACCGCACAACCAGACACCCGGCGTTATTTTCCCTCCGAAACTGAGATTCTTCGCCGGCGCGTGTGACCCACAAGAACCGAACCCCGCTGCCGTGCACGCCGGCGACGATTTCGTCCAGCTGAGAACTCGAGACGGAAAGAAAGCTTCCCTGTGATATGTAAACGACGGAGCTTTCCGGCTGGGAATCCAGCCATTTGATTATATGATCTGAAGAATTGGAAGGGGTTTTGTCTATGGCGGCGCTGAAGTAGGGAATTGCAGGGCCGATTGTGTGGATGGGGAGAGACGAGAGGCTTTGCTTTATAGCGTCAATGGCGGGAGCTTCAAGCTCATAAACTGAAGCGAATAAAAGGTATTGTGCTTTGGGCACCATTGATAAGACCTTCAAAACATCATCAACCAATTCGTTGCCTTTGCCATGGACGGGAGTGGGAAGATCTGACACTTCAATGGATGGAACTCCGGGAAGATAGTTAACTCGCTCTGTATATATGATTATTTTGGTGAAATCAGCTAAAATTTGGGTGACAATCAAAATTGAGTATTGATATGACCTGTTTGGTAAAAAATTGGTTTATATGTTAATTTTGGCCTATTTGACCACTATTAATTGTTTGATTTAATTAAAATATCAATATACATGTTTGGTTAATTAACTTTTTACAACTCCAAAATGCTAAATGCCCTGTTTGGTAAAATGACTGTTAGCTGATGGCTATTTACTGTTAGCTGATTGTGTTAATTAGAGAGTATAAATATGGTAGGGAATATCCCGACCGACATAAGCTCCGCCACGACCGACTTGCCTTTGTCTTTCTTTTTTGATCCTTGCAGGTAGCAGGTCAGGCTTTTTTCATAGAGATCCCGGTCGGGAACGGCCGGAAGTTGCCCGAACGCTGGTGTCGACCACCGAGCGGTAGCCCTTCGACGAAAGAGCTGGCACAAGAACGCGAAAGGACGCGTGGCGGCTCTTCATGGCGACAGACAGGGCACCCGGGAGGATGACACGTGGTGGCTACGTGGAAGACATGCCGAGCAGCCGGAATCTTGTCCCCGGCACAGCGGCTATAAATGCCCACAGTAGCTACAGTGTAGAGGACTTTTGGACGATCGATAGGTTGTTGTTAGAGAATCCCGACCGCACTCAGTCGGTACTCAGAGCAACCAAGTAGATTGTACTTAGGGCCTTTACCGTGATCAATAAAGATTTTACTTGCTTTAATTGGTCTCGTGGTATTTTATATTGCTTACATATAATTAGCAGTATCATTTTGGCGCCGTCCGTGGGGAATCGTACGAGAAACCAACGTCTTGACGAGCACCCGGTCTCTATACCAACATGTATCCGTGGGCACACAACAACTTTGCCGACGACCAGGCGGATGCGGCAAGCTCCTCCGACCACTATGCTACCCAACAACAGGGTCAGACGATGGACCTCAACCTCAACCTCTCACCACCGCATCCGTCAAATACATACCCGGCCGCCCAGCAGCCGGTGAATTACATACAACCAGGATACCCAACACCCGGTCTGCCATACCAGCAGCAGCCCATGATGTATCCCGCCCAGTATCCGTACTCGGTCCCACCTCCACCATATGGGTATTGGCCAGGACAACCGATGTGCTACACTTCCCCGGTTGGTTATCCACCATATACGCCTGCTTATACAGCTCCAGCCGCCACCCCTCCAGTACAACCGACCGCACAAGTAGAGCCGCAGCGTCAGTCCACATCCCGGCTCGACGCTCGGCTCATTCGCGGTTGGGGTCGGGGGGTGCTGATGCGATGGAGGCACCAGCTCAGGCCGTTCAAGCGGAGGACCCTGAAGAAGTTGCCCGAACGGTAGCTTTTGATCGTCTCCGACCAGAGATGCGCCAGCGTTTGGGACCCCAAGACCCGAATCGCGGGCAAGAGGACGTACAAATGCAGGAAGCTAGCCACGAGGCTTCATCCGGGTATAGCGGGTCGAGATCTCACCGACGGCGACGCGCTCGGGATACAGCCCAAGCCGCTCAAGCCGCCGAGCTCAACGAAACCCGAGGATTGCTCTACAACCTCCAGGCTGAAGTTGCGCAGCTCAGGAGTGCGTATCCTACAGCACCCCCGGCCGACCGATCGACCCTACACCAGACGCCTTTCACAGCAGCGGTAATGGCTCAGCCTTACCCGCTCGACTTAAAGGTCTCGGGAGAGAAGAGTTATGACGGTCGGACAGATCCTGAGGCTCACGTGAATGATTTTTTCAGCAATATGATGCTGAAGGGCGTTTCAGACGCCGTGATGTGCAGGGCCTTCTACTCAACCCTCACCGGTCGGGCGGCAGAATGGTTCCGAACCCTGCAGCCGGGGTCAATCGACAAATTTGAGACCCTGGCGATCAAGTTTGTACGGAAGTTCATTACTTCCAAAGTGGTGAGGAAGTCCTATATGTACCTCGAAAAGGCCAAGCAGCTCGAAGGGGAAAGCTTGACCGACTTCCTCATCAAGTGGAAGGCAGCGGTCGGGGAGGTCGAGCCCATGGATGATGCGACCGCCACTCACATGCTTCACATCTCCCTCCGGGCGGGGTATCTGTACCAGGATTTTATCCTCCACCCCCCGACCACCTATGAGGAGGCCCTCCGAAGGGTCACTGATTATGCCAACGCAGGTGAGGCGAATGCCGTCAAGCGCTCGCAGGAGGTCGGCTCTTCGTCCCGTAAACCGGCCAGCCGGGCGGAACATAGGTCGGGAGATGACAACCCCCGATCCCGCACCAGGCCTGGAGAATTTACGGCTTTGAACCGATCCGCAGCGGAGGCCATGCAATACGCCCAGTCCTGCAACCTCATCAAACTCCCCCATCCCGATCGAGACGGCCCTGACAAGAGTAAGCACTGTGCTTACCATCGATGCGCCGGGCATGACACCGAGGAGTGTACCCACTTGCGCCAATTATTGGAAGATTTGCTTAATTTGGGAAAATTGGACAAGTGTGTGGGAAAGAGAGAAGACAGCAAGAGAAATACCGATCGGAGGGATCACAGGCGATCTCATCACCGCTCTGATCGGTCGGGTCAGGACCGAAGAGACGATCGAAGGGACGATCGTCACGATGACCGACGGGACCTAGACCTTCCATCCGGTAGCCGCCCATCCGGCAAGCCCACCATCCATGTCATATTCGGCGGGCTGGAAGATGCATCTCGATCGAGGACGAATTGTCCAGTCGCGATCGTAGATTCTCGGGAAACTGGGAAGAGGCAGAAGATGGAACCCATAACCTTCACCCTTGAGGACCAACCTAGCAGCAGCGACCACGGCATGGAGGCGCTCGTGGTCACGATCGACGTTAAGGGGACGGACGTCCAAAGGGTTATGGTTGACACGGGCAGCAGTGTGAACGTCCTATACTTGGACGTGTTTGAGAAGCTTGGCCTCGACAGGAAGGAGCTGACTCCGGTCGGTGTACCACTGTCAGGATTTACCGGGGCTCTTATTTACCCCGAGGGAAAAATAACGCTCCTGGTTGAGATCGGCACGCCTCCAAAGTCGATCCAAACGGAGCTGGAATTTGTTGTGGTCAACCTCCATTGCGTCCACAACATTATCTTGGGCCGACCCACCATTATGAAGATCGGTGGGATAATTTCTATGCCCCACCTGTGCATGAAATTCCCCACCCCTAACGGGGTCGGCGTGGTCCGTGGCGATGTCCAATCCGCCCGGAAGTGTTACACCCGAGCGGTTAATCGACGTGATTCCGGCCCATCTTCCCGGGTGAACACTATAGCCAAAGAGGAGGCTAAGGAACGGAAGGAGCAGCCCGAGCCTTCCGAAGAGATAGAAGAAGTTCCCCTGTCCGAGGGCCGCCCTGACAGGAAGATTAAGATTGGCCGAGCCCTCACTCCCGAGCTCCGAGCGGAAGTTTTGGCCGTACTTCGGGAATACGCTGATATCTTTGCGTGGGGGCCCGAAGACATGCCCGGGATCGATCGGTCGGTCATCTGTCACAAGTTAGCCGTCGATCCCGCAGCAAAGCCGGTCGTGCAGAAAACACGACACCTTTCCACCGATCGCCGTGAGTTTGTCAGGGAGGAAGTCAAAAAGATGGCGGCAATCGAGCACATCCGTCCGGTGATTTATCCCGAGTGGGTGGCAAATATCGTTCTTGTCCCGAAGCCCCCAGCATGGAGGATGTGCATCGATTTCACGGACCTCAACAAAGCCTGTCCGCTCGACCCGTATCCTCTACCAAGCATTCACCAGATGGTCGACGAGACGGCCGGGGCCGAGTTAATGAGCTTCATGGATGCATTCAAGGGGTACCATCAGATCATGATGCACCATGAAGACGAGAGCAAGACAGCCTTCGTGACCCCGGATGGGCTGTATTGTTACCGAGTGATGCCGTTCGGTCTGCGGAACGCAGGAGCCACCTACCAGAGGATGGTCAACATGCTCTTTGCTGATCTGCTGGGCCGAACGATGGAAGCTTACATCGACGATATGTTGGTCAAGAGTCGGGACCGATCCGACCACACTCGGGACCTTCGGGAGTGCTTCCAGATCATGAGGAAGTACCAGTTGCGGCTGAACCCGACCAAGTGTACATTCGCGGTTCAGACCGGCAAATTCCTCGGCTATATGATGACCAAGAGAGGAATCGAGCCTAACCCGGCCAAAGTAAAAGCGATTCTGGACATGCAGCCGCCTTCCACCGTTTGGGAAGTCTAGCAATTGACCGGTCGGTTGGCAGCCCTCAGCCGGTTCCTCTCCAAGCTAGCCGAGCGCGCTTTACCTTTCTTTAAGGTATTGCGGAAGGTTAACGGATTCGTCTGGGACGAAGAATGCCGAGTGGCTTTTGACGAGCTGAAGGAATATCTCATGTCACCAATCGTGCTCTCAAAGCCCGAGCTCGGAGAAGAGCTGGACGTATACCTCGCCGTGTCCGATCGCGCAGTAAGCGCAGTATTGTGCCGAACCGATCCGGAAGGGGTCCAGCGACCGGTGTATTATGTAAGCCACGCTCTACATGGTCCCGAGCTCCGGTACTCCCGGCTAGAGAAGGTCGTCTACGCCTTGTACATTGCCGCGAAGAAGTTGGCTCCCTACTTCCAGGGTCGAGCAATTCGCGTGTTGACCGATCAGCCGATCGGTCCAGTCCTCCGAACTGCTTCATCATCAGGTCGCCTAGTCAAATGGGCGTTAATGTTGACCCAGTACGCGATCGAATACCGACCAAGACCGGCTATTAAAGGTCAAGCTCTTGCGGACTTTTTGGTTGAGTGCACCGCCCGGGATACCCGGCCTCCTGAGGTTGCGGATCCCGAGGCTGAGTGGTGGTCGTTGGCTACTGACGGGTCAAGTAGCAAAAAAGGAGCAGGGGGAGGAGTAGTAGTCACGAGCCCAGAAGGATTCAAAGTCTATTTTGCTCTCATGTATCAGTTCCACCCGACCAACAACGAAGCCGAGTATGAAGCATTTGTAAATGGCTT